TTTAATAAGACCGAGTTGGACCTCAGACAACGTGTTTTTGATATGTCGAATGTTTATGTCTTAAAGAATTGATATTTATGTGGTTCCGAGACCATGTGGTTATGCGATTGCTTAAGTTGCTTTAAATGCATGAAAACCCAAATTCCGAGCCTCAGTTTGTGCTCTGTTTTTGTCGACCAATAAGCTGTTTCTTGGACAAGTGTTCTTCTTGAGTTTTGTAGAACTTTGAGTTAGGTTTCTGTGAGTTTTTGAATCTTGTAATTCGGAGTTGAAATAAATTTTATATGAATTTTCAAAATCAGACAAGCATGCTGTTTTGATAAACTCGGACAGAAATTTTGATCTCAATTCATTGTTGTTTTAGATGATCTTAACGTGCCTGAAAGAAAATGTGTTCTTCATGACAAATGTAGTATATGTTGTAAGCTACCTGTGAGAGTTGGAATCATACATTTTAGAGTTCCAGTTGATTTTATATAATTTTTCTAAGAGGGATCTACACCCAGTTTTTTATGAAACCAGTGGTTGTGTATATGCTCAGAATGTATGCTCTAAAAAGATACCTTTAACGCGATTATTTGTAAAAATGTTCTTCTTGAAACTTGTAGTTCTCCTTGTGAAATTTATGTACATTTTGAGTTTTCATGATTTAGAGTTGTGTAGCTTGATCTGTTGCTATTTTACTAAGGTGCTGTATATTCGAAAAAAATTGTTTGTTGTTTCTGTTGTACCTCACTTTAAGCCATCAGAGACCGATTATTTGAGGTAGGTTTCTTCTTATGAAATGTAGTATGTTCAGTTATCTGTATCTGGGCTTTGGAATTTCTTAATTCTAAGCTATATCGAATAAGTTATGATTTTTACGATAATATTGCGCGTCCAGTTTTTCTTGCTACCCGGCAGCTTGTGTGTAATTAATGTGTGTCATGTTTATCGTGTCGTAATGTGCTTGTATGTTCTTATGAATGAAAGTGATAGAGGCATGAGTTAGGGATATTTTTCAAGTGGTTTCATCATGATATGATTTGTAGACTGAAAGCTACATGCATTTTAAATTTATCGTGCATGTTAAAAATTGTTGCAAGTTCATGTCTAGAATTCTAAGCTGAGTTGTGTTGTTTAAAAGTATGTTTATGTGGCATAACTGAACCATGTCATGCTA